TTTAAATACTAGAGGAAACTGATATCCACCAGCACTTATTTTTTTTAAGTGTCAAGTTATTTTCCAAAAGTAATTTTATGGGTCATTTTAATCCCTGGGAGCCCCAGTGGCGTAGTGGTTACGTTTGGCTGCAATCCACAAGTCAGCAGTTGGAAACCAACAGCCACTCCTCATGAGAAAGATGGGGCTCTCTAACTCTTGTAAACAGTCTTGGGAACTCACAGGGACAGTTCTACTCTGTTCAATAGGGTTGCCATGAGTCAGCATCAACCTGGTGGCAGTGAATTCGTTTTTTGTTTTTTTAATCCTTGGACTATATTTCCCCTGCCCCCATATTGTTCTTCTAATGCAGTTCAGAGGGTTTCAAAAAGTTCACTGAAAAAAATCCATTATCTTTCAACTTCATTTTTTCCACAAATGTTTTGAACTCCCCCACCCATCCCACCCCATAGTTTTTTATTATCCAAAAAGTTCTCTTGAACAAAGGAGTTGAGAAAAAACCATTTTACTGTGACTATATGGTTCTAAGTTTTAAGATTTTTCTTCTTGCCTAACTTGATGCAATTATAAGTAGATAACTGAACAACATAACTATATATTTTTATAAAGATTTATTAAACAAGCATAAGGATTAACCACAAAGGGACTCACAGGGTCAAAAGTTCTTCTGTTTATTTTCTACCTGCAGTGATGGTAGTCACAATACTATCAACATGCATAAAGATGGGTAGTTAACTTAAAAGAGTAATACAATAAGCCATATTTACATATCTCCAGCTATACTGGAATTTAAATTAGATGTTTTCGGTATGATTATGTCCCAAACTTCTGGGATCTATGCGTCCTTGGATAAGTACCCACTCTGTCAGTGCCTGTGACTTGACATCAATAACTGTGCCATACAATACTGTAACCACTAGTCATATTTGGGTACTTAATCACAGTACAAAAATTCTTTGTGTCAGTACACTGGACACATTTCAAGCACTCAATAACTCTCTTCGGCTAGGGATTATCATTTGTATAGACATAGTGGTGAAAATAGAATGACATGATAGAGAATAACAAGAGCTCAGTGTGAGTTGAATTAAGTTTAGAGCAGGTGGTCAGAAAAGGCCCCCTTGAGAAGCTGACATTTAAGTTGGCACTTCAATGACAAGTTGCAGGCAGCAATGCAAAGATCTGCATAGCGGATCTAAGCTGAGGAAACAGCAAGGGTGAAAGCTGCACACACAAACAAGTGTGGCTTGCTCAAAACCAGTGTGGCAGAAGCATATGAAATAAGGAGAGAGGAATATGAGACACAGAGATGGCAGAAGGTACCTTGTAAACCAGAGGGGCCTTGCAAACCGTGTAAGGACATCAGATTTTATAGAGAGCAATGGAAAGCCAGAGAAGGCCATAAAGAGAGGAATGCTGTCATCTAAGTTGTCTTTTAAATGCTCACACTGTTTTGTGAGAATTACCATATTGCCCCCTTATAACAAGTCCAAGTAAATAATACTTCCACATATATAGTGCTCTAAAGCACAAGGAAGTTGCAGTTTGAAGGGGGGAAAAACCATACAACGTGCATACAGTTTTTGTAAAAATACGGTCTTAAAGAACCATGAGTGAGATGCAAGAGCTTCCAGAAGACTGTCGGATTCCACGGCCTGTCTGAAAGAAGGTGGTAGCCTGGAACAGGGGAAGGGCAGTGGCATGGAGAGAACGTGCATCTTTTCTCCACATTCCTTCTATCAGCTACTATCCTTCACAATCTGTTCACCTTGGAATATTTTTATTAGAAGGGTTATTTTTAACTCTTCAACTTCTTGTAATATGCTTTCTGGCTCCACCAGTGGACTAAAATTGTCCTCAGGGTCCAGGCACCTCCACATTCCCAAAGCCAAAAGGCACTTTTCTATCCTGATCTCATCTGAACTCTGCTGCACTTAACTACTGACCCCTCCTCACTGTCATCAAATTCTCCTCCTTCAAGTCCTGGACCAATTCTCTCACCTGCATTTCCTTCCCCCTCTGCATGACTGTAAGGTTACTTATTCATGCTCAGTCTATGTCACAATATGCACATTAAGTCTGGGGAGACAAAACTAACACTCTTTTGCTGGCAATCCCCAAATTAACATCTTGTTAGGACTCCCATTTTAGACCTTTCTGTCTAATGTTCTACTGGACCTCCTCATGTGGGCATACCACAAACATTTCAAAGGCAAAAGGTCCTCCCTTCTTCATTCTCTCATATCCCATGGACCAAGCCAAAGACCAAAAGTATCCTATGCCCACTTTCATTCACCAACTACACCCTGTGACCAGATTTTCACTAACCAAAAAACTCAAATCCATTCTTGTTGAATTGATTCCAATTCCCAGAGACCACAAAGGACAGGATATGAATGCCCCTTTCGCATGTGCAAGAATCTTACAGAAGCAGACTGCCACATCTTTCTCCTGTGGAACAGCTAATTTTCAATTAGCAGCGAAACACTTAACCACTGTGCCACCAGCCCCCCAGGGCTCCTTAAGATCTTCACAAACCCACTGCTGTAAAGTCAACTCTGATTCATAGAGATGCATAGGGCAGTGTAGAACTGCCTTACATGGTTTCTTTGCAGAAGCACCTGAACATTTTAAACACTGCACAACCAGATCTCTTAAGACTTTCACTGTCCACCCACCGCCATCCAGTTATTTCCAACTCACAGTGATCCTATGAGGTTTCCAAGACTAAATCTTCATGAGGCAGCCTCATCCTTTCCCAAGAAGTAGCTAGGAGCTTCACACCATCAACCTAGGAACTGCAAATTCCATCTCCTTAATATCTTCTAATAGCCCTGGTGACATAATGGGTTCTGCATAAGGCTGATAACTGCAAGGTCAGCAGTTCAAAACCTCAAGCTGCTGCTCAGAAGAAAAGAAGCCTTCTATTGCCATAAAGATTTCTGGTCTCTGGGAAACCCACAGGGGCCGTTCCATTCTGTCCTATAGGTCACGATGAGTTGGAATCAACTTGATGGCAGTAAGATAATTATTTAAGCCCTGGTCCTGCTATGGTCTAAGTGTTGTGTTGCTAATTGCAAGGTCAGCAATTCAAATCCACCAGCTGCTCTGTTGGAAAAGATGAGCCTGTCTGCTCCCATAAAGTCTCAAAACACCACATAGGGTAGCTGTGAGTTGGAATTGACTTTGGCAGTGGATTTGGTTTGGGTTTATTTTTCTAATTAGTCCCTCCTTTCAAAACCTGTGACCATCTTAGGTGAATTGTGACCAATTCAAGTTTACATCACTTGCTAATTGGTTTTGGACTAGCCTCCCAACCAATTTCCCTATTTTCCATTTCTCCTTCACACTGATACTAGACATTCAGTACATTTCTGGTGACTTCATTCAGTACAAATCGAATGTCGTCATTTCTTTGCTTAAAATCTATTGGAGGCTGTGACAAGGTGTCTAATCTAGCTCCTTACCCCTACTAGTGCGACCTTCCCTTCTCATCTTCCTCTCCAGCCATTCAGCTTTTCTAAATTCTCTAGATGCCAGGCCTTCTCAGGCCACTTTCCTCTGCAGATGATATTACTAATGTCATGGTTAGTGGCCATCCAACTGGTCATGACTCCTGGTGACCATTGTAATTCGTTGGTTTTTTTCCACTGGCTGAATTTTCAGAAGTCAGTCACCAGCCTTTTCCTTATTTTCTTAAGCTAAGCTGTGCTAAAACCTGTTACACATGATAGCAACACATAACATCTTCGGAAGATGGGTGGTGGATGTGCTTAGGTGCAATGTTGGGAATCAAACCTAGGTTGCTGGTCCACCACCGAATCACCCCTGTCCCATTCACAAGCTAGTATCTCTCACCAACTCATCTAACTCCTACTTCAAAGGGAGGCTTGAGCATTACCACCTTGCCTATGTGTGCCCTGGTGCCTTATGCATGATTCAATCACACTGTACGGTAGCAGCTCATTTATTTGCCTCTCCCAGCCTCCACTCCCCAAACACACACACTAAACCATAAGCTCCTGGAGAGCTGGAGTCATCCTCTTAATTTTATTTGTATAACCAGTGCACACTGAATAGTCATTGATAGGTCTGACAGCTTCTATATATTTTTCAAAAGGAATATATTTAGTGGGCCTTTTTTCTACCATTGCAATATAGCACAAAGTGCCAGAACTGCCAAATGTGCTTCTGAAAAACGAAGCACAATACACATTCCCTTTCAAAAGGAAGGAATGCAGGTAATTCTGGAAACCACGCAGTACCTAATAAATCAGTCTTGGGATTTTTTATACTACAGTTAACTCAGGTGGGCAAGTGCTTACTTAACACTGATTGCATTCTGCTCGGCCTTGGCCACGTTGCTGTAATTGAAGTTCCTGACGTCTCCCTGACTCTCTCACCTGACAGGTTATTCCTTATGTGGGAGACGCTTACTCACCACCTCGGGAGCCACTCTGGTCAACCAGCCATTTACCGTCTAAAACCCAGTGGCGGAGGGGGGTTGGAAGTATAGGAAATGCACAGAGGAAAACAAACACATGGGAAAGCGAGAGAGGGCAGCGGCTGGAGGGGAGTGGGTTCAGGAACTGCCTGGGTGGAGCGAGGACAGCAGGCGAGCAATGGGGACAGGCCCGCGACTCCCGCGCCGGCGGTCCAGGACGTGGGGCTCTGGGTCGGAGGGAGGCCGAGATGGAGGAGGCTCCGAGGGAACGCTAGGAGTGGGGGGTAGGGGGTGGGGAGCGGCAGAGGCTAAAGGAAGACGCAGTCCGGGGCCCGAGGGTGGAGCAGCTTGGGAGAAAAACTGCTGCGAGAGCAGAACCCCGACGCAGCCAGAACGAACAGGGCTTTGGGCCGCGGCTCTCCACGGTGCGAACTGAGGCGGCGTGGGGGCGCAGCCGGAGGAAGACCCCAAGTCGCCGAGCCCGCGCTACGGAGCGGGTGAGCCGGGGTCCCGGGTGATGGGGAAAGGTCGGAGCGGCGATGCCAAAGGCACTTACTGGGGTCCCTCCTCGCAGCGCCGCTGGGGGTCTCCTCCCGGAGGTGAGGGAAGAGGAAGTCCCGGGAGGCCTGGAGATCCTGGAAGTAGCAGAACTGGACCAAGGAGCAAGCCATGGCCCCGAGGAGCTCCACTCGGGCACTCACCCCACCTCGCCACGCCCAGCCCCTCGCCGCCCCTCCGCCGCCACGGCCCAGCCGGCACCGCTCGGGCACGAAGAAGGCGGGGAAACGAAACCGGAAGCTGTCGGCGAACCCGGACCTGCCGCCTGAGCGCAACGCATGCGCAGGACGGCCCCGGCCTCCGGGGAGGCGCGGTCGGAGTCACGTGACTAGCGTGGGTCCGCCGTCAACCTGTCCAGTCCGAGTTTTGCTCCTCAAACAGGGATGAACCCTGGAACCCTGGCTTTTAGCTGACGGTGACATCATTTGCGCAGAACTCTGAGTCATTCAACAATCCAATTGATATGTTAAATTACTGGGAGTTTGTGGGTATTATTTGAAAAGTTTAATTTCTCTTCCATGTATCAACCCACCGAGGCTGCTGACCTTGCTCCTCCTATAGATACGAATCCCGTGCTGTAGTTCTATGTTTTTGTCATCCCTTTGCTACTTCATTTTCTTCTCTCATCCATTGAACAAATATTTGCTATGGGTCTTTAAAATTTTTTTAATGCCAACCACATAAGACGCTGGTTGTAAAGCAGAGAACAAAAGCGATGAGTGCCTGTTCTCATAGAGCTAAAATTCTACTGGTTAAAACAGCTACAAAGCAACTAATTACTGGCTAGCTGAGATTGTAATGCTGCTAGCAAGGAAAGAAATGTAAGTTCCATGACAGAAAATAACAGGGCACTTGACCTAGTTAGTTTTTGTTGCTTTTGTTTTTGTGGGAATTGTGTGAGGATCGGGAAGCAATTTTATATCATTTTAAACTCTTAGGGGCACAGAATCTCACTTTAGTTTATATTCCCACTATGTTAAATGTTGGCGGTTCGAACCCACCCAGTGCCTCCCAGAAGAAAGACTTGGTGTATTTCCTTGACAAAGGTGGCAGCCAAGACAACCCTAAAGAGCAGTTGTTTTGTAACAAGTGGACTCTGTAACATGAGCCAGTGGCAACTCCACCACTTACAGCAGTAGTATAGGATCTGACACGTAATTCACTGACATCAAGTGGATTTTGACTCACTGTAATCCTACAGGACAGTGTAAACCTTCCCCTGCTGGGTTTCTGAGACTTTAAAAATCTTTGTGGTAGCAGATGGTACCTTTCTTCCTGGGGGTGCCTAATGGGTTCAATGTGAGGTTTGCCACTTGAAAGCCAAAAGAGGAATGATTTTAACATTAATTCAGAGGAGTGTGGACGTCTGTATCCTATAGGGAACATTAAGAGGTCATCTACTTTGAGAGAAAACATGATGCAGGAAGAAATTGAAGACAAATCGACAGGGTCTGAAGTATTCTCTCTGTCAGGCCTATGCAGCTACTTATCTTCATTATAGCACCAGAACTATAATTTAGTGCTCTGATAGGTACTCCAGTTCCTATGTCATCAGCTTAATCAGGATTTGTTCTTTAAAATGCAGGATTAGTAGGTCTGGGCTGCTAACCACAGGTCAGCAATTGAAATCCACCAGCTGTTCTTGGAGAAAAAGAAGAGGTTTTCTACTCACAGGAAAAGTTACAGTCTCAGACACTTACAGGGGCAGTTTACTCTCCTATAAAGTTGCTATGAGTCGGGACTGACTCAATGGCAGTGAAGTGTCTTTTGTTCATGCTATAGCAACCCTCTTTGATGGCATGGAGTTGCCCAGAGGATTTCTAAGGCTGTCAGTCTTCATAAAAGCAGATTTTCACATCATCCATCTCTCAGAGTGGCTGGTTGGTTCAAACTCTGGCTTTTCAGTTAGTAGCCAAGTGCTTAGTTACTCTGCCACCAGGGCTCCCTTTATTCATGCTCTACTCACTCTTTCATTGCCATCGAGCTGATGCCGACACATGGTGACCCTATAAGACAGGGTAGACCTGCCCCTGTGAACTTCCAAGATTAACTGTTTACAGGAGCAGAAAGCCCAGTCTTTTTCCTGTGTTTTCTTCCATCTGCAAAAAAAAAATGCATACCACCACACCTAGTAACCCAGTCCTAATGATGTAACCCTAAAATATGTGTGTGGATACCAACTAAAATGTCAAACTCTTGGCTTACTGGGTCAGGAAAGAACGTGGGACACTTTTTGGAAGGGTACTGTGTCATTCCTTGAAACCCATTCAAGTTCCTATTCAGGTAAATGCATTCTGTGGAAGTAACAGCTCTTGGCAGGTTTAGCTGGCTTTTGTTCTTCCCTGAGGCATTCATGCATCTCTTGTGGGGCAGCCATTGAATTTCATTACTGTGCTGGCTCAGCTTCAATAGTGAAGTCCTTGTCTTCCTTCCAACTGGTATTGAAAAGATTCATTCATGAATGTTTTGAAAGACTTTGGATACCCTTCACCGAAAATTAGAACAGATTCGTGAACTGAACTCTCCCCCTGCCCCAGAAGTTATAATGATGCAAGAGAATGAATAAGGAATTCTGCTGCCAGGGTTTCATTGGAGGCTCAGGTTGGGGGTGGTGGAGTGTATGAGACAATGATGATCATAAACTTCACTGTCTTAAGAAAGTGCATTGTAGAAGGTGTGCAACCTTTACGTATCCCAGAGTAGATGGTCTCCCTCTGGGAAATAAGAGTTTAGAAGTTAGGAAAAGCTCTCTGATCAAAATAACAAGATGGAAGCTGGCTCGATTTCACAAATTTTCCAGTCTCCATTGCTAGAGATAGAGCGTTTATACTGTTGTTAAGGGAGGAGAAGATATTGGAGGAGAATCTAATGGAGAGGTTGAGATTCAGGCTGGAAGCAAAGTGTGGGAGAAAGAACAATGAATTTGGAGTCCAGAAACCCGAGGATCTGGCTCAGTTCTGTCACTAATCAGTCATGATCTTGGGCAATTCATGTCACCTATCTGGGTCTTAGTTTCTTGATCTATAAGATAAAGAAACTGGTGTATGTCTCTTAATATTTAATGCAACCTGTCCTTTAATGCAATCTGTCCAGTCCTGGTGCGGTCTTGTGGGGATCGTAGTGTAAAGATTTGAACTAGAGGAGGGGGTGGGGGAAGCAATGAAGAAGCTGGACTCTAAGGCCCATTCTATAAATGCATATATTTTGGTAAATAGTTGGGAAGAAAATGTTAGTGGTTGGAATTACTCAGAAGAAATCATCTGTGTGAGACTCCAGGCAAGGCCCAGGTGTGTGTGGGTGGAGAGTGAAGGAGCACTAAGCATCTCTACATGAAAGGAAGGAGAGCAGAGAAGGATGAAAGGGCATGGATGCCAAACCATGTGGCTTTTCTAAGAGTCATCTTTGCCTGCTTTTTTCTTTTTTGCTGTAGTTAATAATTCAATGTAGAATGATATTATAAGACATTTTTGTAATCTAAGAAATATTGCCTTTAAGTAATTTATAAGTACAGTTATTAGTCTAAGATTAAAATTAGTAAGAAACATTTCTCAGGATTCTACCCTCAATTCTGGAGGGTGGGAGCACAGGTGGGCAAGGGAGAAGAAAGTGGTAGATTAAGTAATTGAAATCAGGCCCCACCCTCAGTGAACTTGGAGCCAATCTTTGGGACTAAGACACATGTCTAAATAAGTATGTGACATAACAGATGATGGAGTGCCTCAGTAAGAAAACAGGAACCCTAGGATGCCAGATATGGGCTTCTTTCTTCCTGGGTTATACCTGCTAGGTCAGTGGTTCTCAACCTGTGGGTCGCGACCCCTTTGGTGGGGGGAGGTTGGGGTTGGGGGGGTGGTGTCAAATGACCCTTTCACAGAGGTTGCCTAAGACCATCGAAAAATACTATTTCCGGTGGTTGGTTTTTTTTTTTTTAACTGGGGGCTCATACAACTATTATCACAATCCAGACATACATTCATTGTGTCAAGCACATTTGTACATCTGTTGCCATCATCATTCTCAAAACATTTGCTTTCTACTTGAGCCCTTGGTATCAGCTCCTCATTTTTCCCTTCCCTCCCCACCCACTTTCCCTCACAAACCCTTGATAATTTATAAATTATTATTTTGTCATGTCTTACACTGTCCAATGTCTCCTTTCACCCACTTTTCTGTTGTCCGCCCTCCAGGGAGGCACTTATATGTAGATCATTGTGATTGATTCCCCCTTTCTCCCCCCCTTCCCCTTCCCATTCCCTTCCAGGTATCGCTACTCTCATTATTGGCCCTGAGGGGTTTATCTGTTCTGGATTCCCTGTGTTTCCAGCTCTTATCTGTACCAGTGTACATCCTCTGGTCTAGCCAAATTTGTAAGGTAGAATTGAGATCATGATAGTGGTGGGGAGGAAGTATTAAAGAACTAGAAGAAATTGTATGTCTCGTCATTGCTGTACTGCACCCTGACTGGCTCCTTTCCTCCCCTCGACCCTTCTGTAAAGGAATGTCCATTTGCCTGCAGATGGCCTTTGGGTCTCCACTCCGCACTCCCCCTCATTCACTATGATATGATTATTTGTTCTTTGATGCCTGATACCGATCCCATTAACACCTTGTGATCACAGGCTGGTGTGCTTCTTCCATGTGGGCTTTGTTGCTTCTCAGCTAGATAGCCACTTGTTTATCTTCTGTCATGATTTGTAGGAGCCCCAGTGGCATAGTGTGTACAAAGTGGGCCATCATTGGAAAGGTCAGCAGTTTGAAACCCATCTGTTCTTCTGGAAAAAGACGAGGATTTCAATGGATATTGAGAGTTACAGTCTCGGAGGACAGAAGAAGATGATGTCCAGTTAAATTCACATGCCTGCAGTTCCTGCTGCCAGACCAGAAAATTGGGAGGTAAGGAGAAAGAGACTAGGAGGCCCCATGTTCAGGCAATCAGGGATCAGCTATCTCTTTTTTCCCCTTCTCTCTCTCTCTTCTCTCTTTCCCACCAGTCAATCCTAGCAAGCACAGTTGTATTTTTATTCTCCTTCATTTTCTTTCTTTCTTCTCTCTTTTCCCTCTCTTCTTTCCTCTTTTCTGTTTCCTTCCACATGCCACTGCTGGTTTCCAGACCCCTACCCTCTGCCTAGGG